CAATTGTCACATTTTAAAAATACAGATATTATTTATTGGAAACATATTTATTTTTAATTTTTTCTTATGTCAGTCTGTCTGTTAACTGTCATGTTCACTTGCGAAGTGGACAAAATTATACATTTTAAATTTAGATGCCAAACATCCTTGATTTATGTACATTTAAATGCTAATTTGAATGCTTGAGTGATTGAATTTGAAGAAAAAGTCTTGAAAAATTATTATTAGTGTAGCATCTTTTTCAAGCAAATTATTTTTAAGTTGCGATATATTTTCTTTTCTGAATAAAAGCGTTTTATGTTGATAACCAAAGTACAATAATATTAAAAACTTTATTTCCAACTTTTCCGAAATGTTTTATTTTCAGTTTATGTTAACCTTCATGATTGTTACTTTTGGCTTTATTATAACTCAATCCTTTCCAATTTGTCCACTTATCGTAAAAACAAAAGGAACATGTAAGAAAATCAAAATTACAAAGGGAAAAGACCACACATTCTAAACAAAAACGACCAAAAGGTCTTAAAACAGTTTAAAACAAGTTCAATGTTCTAAGGATAAAAATTTAAAAAGTTTGAAGCACCCTAATAAAAGTCCGTGTGATCAAGATATGTTTACTCTAGTCCTCCATTAAAGATTACACAAATCACCATTCTATTGTAAGTTAGATTCCAGTTCCGAGCCTTATTCATTTTCTCTGGCTCACATATATCAGAGTTCACAATCTCTATTTTATCCAGGTGTTCGGCCAGCCAGTCGTTTCCAGTCTTAATCTTAAATATGTAACAGCCGCTTTGCTAGTTTTTTTTTTCTTGCATTCTTTCCAGTCATTCCCAATTGCCTCCCAGACTTTTTCTTTGGAGTTAGATATACAATGACTAATATATAATATACAGTCGTTGTATATTAGTATACTAACGATATACTAATATACAACGACTTAATTTTTTCCTTGTATTGTTCTCCTAAAAGTGTCAAGAGGAGTAAGCCACTGCCTAAGGACATCTTCTGTTCCTTTTTTTGCAAGATCTGCCCTTTGATTTTCATCAAATCCACCATGTGATGGAATCCACTGGAAAATGATGTATTTTCAATAAGGAACTTGAAAATTTGTTTTATTTCAGTTTTTTCTGTGAAATTTGCCTCAAGGATTACCAGAACATCAACATCCCTCTCTACACAGATTTTTTTAATTTTTTTGAAAATTAGCTCCAGGTAGGCCAAGAGCATTACACTGTAGTACATTCAGTTTATAATTCGGATGACGCACACTCATTTTTTTTTCATTTAGTCGTTACTCATTTAGCACCACCCAGGCTGCAAGTGTGATCTAAGGTTGTCGCGGACGCGAGTAACATTTCCTCCCTTAAACTTCATTGTAGATAGGAACAATGAACAATTATCAACAATTATCTCATAATATGTATCACATAATAACAACAATTATCTCATAATATGTATCACATAATATCCACAATTATCTCATAATATGTATCACATAATATCAACAATTATCTCATAATATGTATCACATAATAACAACAATTATCTCATAATATGTATCACATAATATCCACAATTATCTCATAATATGTATCACATAATATCAACAATTATCTCATAATATGCAGATAAATAAATTGCAGCAATAGATAGACTTCTTAAAGAAACTTCCAAAAAAAAATTTTTTTAATAATATATATATATATATATACATACATACAAGAGTTTTGTTCTTCTTGAATTCCCGACTTATAGCAAATTATTTCTATACTAAGCGCTACTAAATTTAGTGGAGAAGTGGTTCTGACTGCTATACTTTATTGCTATCTTAGGGCTTTCAGTTCTCTCCAATACAAAATATTAACCAGACCACTTTGTTTGCTCTGACTGCAGACAATTAGAAACTTTAATTGCTGGTTCACGTGGCTTTTGCCTTACAGTTGCTTCTCCGAACTAGGCCCAATCTCTTCAAATTCCTTAAAAATGCAATAAAATGAAGTAAATAGATTCGTCTATTTTTTCCCTTACCTATAACCACCACTTGAATTTCGACTACAACTTGTATCAACTACAGCGCTGAGGGAAAATAAATAGTTAAGCTGTAAAATAGTTAACTCGTGGAATAAATAAATAAATATTATAAAATTTAAATGTTTTGAGATGGACTTAAGTTGAATTCTGGAAAAGGCTTCTGTTTTTTCATCGCTCCTATTTCATCCGTCTTTTTCTTCATCTCTGCTCATATTCTAAGTGTTCCAAGTTCCGTGGCAGACTTCGAATCTTCATTTTTCTGCGTTTCCGTCATATAATCCTCGTGATGTCTCAATCTTGAGATGTTTCCATTCTTCTTGATCGTCGACTAAGTTTTCTGCATTCCACAGTTGTCCTTTTCGAAGAATTTCCGATTGCCCAAATCCCTGCAGTTCTGTGTATCCAATTTTCTGTTTTCCTGTGTTTCAATAGCTCGCTTTCCAACAGAATATTTTCAAGTTTTAAGATTTCAGAAATACACGCGAAACGTTCTCCTGTGTGATTATCAACATTTAGCATTAAAAATTAGAATTTTTGTTATTAAAAATGAGAGAATGTGTTTATATATTTTACCAATATCATATTTCTTTTCTTACATTCATCAAAGTTCATAAGTTTTAAATTTTATATAGTTGATTTTGTATATTTTGATGCACTATTTTGAAATTTATGCTTTTGCAGAGCATTATAAATTTTATTAAAATGAAAATTTAATTGAACAAAGTAGGGGAAAAAGTAAATAAATATACAAATTAATTATCTTTTTATTGCCTATTTATGATATGCCAAAATACAACAACACAACAACAGGAGGAAAAAAATATAGCTGATGAAAATAATATGTTCATGCATAAAATTGACGGAAAGATTTGCATTTATGATTATAATGATGTATAGGCTGATTGAGCATAATTTTTCAACAACGTATCACATTGATCCTCAGATTGCCAACATTAAGAAAGCTGAATTTAATTCATTAATTAATTAGTGTTATTATTAGTGTTTTATTAAAGAAAAATATTAAATCGTCTCTTTATCATGTCACATAGCACATTGATGTTGTAAAAAAAATTAATTTGATTGTTCAATATAACTTATCAAGGACAGAAGACTTTTCACAAAGAATATACAATTTGCCATGGACAATTTACAGATATTCCAGGAACTTATCTTACTGCTGTACTTCTATAACTAAGTTAAAACTGAAATTGAAAATGAATATCTAGTCTAATTTTTTTTCCATATTGCTCTTGTTTAATTTTATAATGAAATGAAATTGTAATATTTGTCATCATTCACTCTGTTATGCTCCTAACTGTTAGCTTCATCATGCAAATCTTCAACATAAATTGAATCAATTTTATTATACCTTGTAACCATGCTTCCTCCTACACACTACAAGAGCGCACGCGACTCTTACCCGAGAGGAAATGCATGTTGTTCCCTTAGGCACTCCCGCTGAGAAACGTTTAGTTTGTAATCTCTCATCCCGAAAGGAAATATATTTAACGCAACCCTGCACATAAGTTAATTTACAGATTCTCGCCCGGATACGAAGTATATTTCGGATGTATCTGAATATCGGATTTTCGGCTTCGAAATGAAATCCTTCCACGAATTTATAACTACAAATGCTGTACTCTACTACATTACATTGTTGAAATATTTAGTACACTTCAATTGTTCTCAACTGCGTAATGCTTTATTTCGTGAAAAATTCTGCGTTATTTTAAAAAGTAAATCATTTATGGGTACAGCTCAGAATTCTCTCTCTCTCTCTCTCTCTCTACATTATAGTGAGTTTGACTTGCATTTCAAGTATTGCATGCCAGCCTCTTCCGAAAGGGCATATATTCTACAATAACACCCTTTTTGTTTTTCCTGAATTCCTAACTTATAGCTAATAAAATCAGTTGCTACACTAACCCCTATTAAACTTAGTGATTCTGACTGCAGTATTTTTGTAATCTGTCGCTATTTTAGGGTTCTTAGTTTTCTTCTTCAATGGTTCAAGTATCATGGCGGTGCCATGGACGTTTGTGAGTGATACGGAATCCACATTAAACTGTAGGTTCTGGTCTAATTATACCAAAGTGTGCACAAAATGGTCGTAGAGCGAACAAATCAAACCAAACCAATTTTCAATGCGCAACAGTTTCGTTATGGACGAAGATCGTCTGCCTGCTGGCAGATTTCGAGACAGGTATTTTTTTTTTTTTCGTTTTTACTAGGTAAGATTGTCAGCCCTATCCCCAACTGTCCTATTAGACGGGGACATACGGTTTAAAGTGGATTCTTAACCACTATAAATATCCAAGGCACTGCTGGGACTCGAACCTGAAACATGTAGCACAGAGCGTCAGAGCGCTACTCACTCTGCCATCAGGCCCCTCTCAGTTTTCTCCAATACAAAATATTAACCAGACCACTTTTAGAGGTATGTTTATAAATCTGTTTGCTCTGACTGCAGATAATTAGCAACTTTCACAGCTAGTCCACGTCGCTTCTGCCTTTCCGGTTCCTTCCTGAACTGACCCCAAATTCTGTAAATTCCTTAAAAATGTCACTAAAATGAAGTAAACAGATTCGACAAAATCAAATTGGCTTTCGACTACTACTCGTAGCAGATTCCTTGCTGCTATACACACACATGCATACACAACAGGGAGTTGGACATTTATTGTTGTTGTTTCTTATCCCACTTGGCTGGCCAAGCCCACGAGCCCATACGTACTCATGATTGAAGGGGAAGGAAGCAGCTTCTGTTGTGATGGAGCACCCATAGATGTAGAAGTCTGACTTTGGCTCCGTGATGCTCTTACAGTCATAGGAGACCAGGACCTACGCCTTAAAGTGCATTCCGAACCACTACAAACATACATGGCACCGCCGGGATTCGAACCCGAAACCTGTGGCACCGAGCGCTAGACACTCGGCCATTCAGGTCCCAAATTTGTGAATGTCAACTGCACGCGGTGTTCCCAGGTGGTCACCCACCCAAGTACTGACCGCGCCCAATGATGCTTGACTTCGGTGATCTAACGAGAACCGATAGGGCATTTATAAACAAATCATAGAGAGACATAATAATATAATATTATTAATTTTATTTATTTAATTAATTAATTAATTAATTAATTTTTATTTATTTATTTAATTAATTAATTTTTATTTATTTAATTTAATTCTATTATTAAGTTCATAATTAACTTTATAAACAAATTATAGAGAAATTTGGTATTACGAATTAAATTTATTTAGTTAACTATTAAAGATTAAATTGGCACGAAAATCATTAGTTTTATATTGAGTGTTCAGTAACTTTCTCGTTCGAAATTGTTCTTTCCGTTATTGTATTATTTTATTATTGTAGTTAATTATTTATGCATCGTGGTATATCCTTGGAAAAAATCTAAATATTTTAGTGCTTTAGGATAGGAAATTAATGCACTGAAATCAGTTCCATGAAAATTAACTGTAGGTTAATAATTACTTGGCAAAAGATGTTACTTTGCAGAAAAACCATTAATTATTTTTCTTCCCAAAGCCATTTCATTTAATTTCCTAGAAAATTATAGTAAGAAAATAAATAAATAAATAGTTCTGAAGAAAATAAAATTAATTAAATGAAACAAAAGTATAATAGAGAATAGAATGTTATAAAGAACTTCCTAACTTTTTTCACTTGTTAACTTTATTTTTATTTTTTTTTATTCAATAACTATGATAGCAGAACTACACTAACATTTTTAACCACACAACATCAACCTCTTAACCCTAATTTCTTATAGTTATCAACTTTAAGTGTTAAATTTATTTACCACGTAAACAAATATTTTTATATTAGCATGTTTATTTTTAATGACACCATTAAGAAATTAATAAAAAAACCAAAATACAATAAGAAATTTTTAATTACTCTAACACTTTAATATTAATATTTTAACCCTATTTCTTAAATTAGAGTTAAAATATTTAATTCCTTTTAAATTTTAACTTTAGGTACTAATTTTACTTACCACGTAAGCAAATATTTTTATTTGAACTTGTTTATTTTTAATGGCACCATTAAGAAATTAAAAAAAATAATAATAAAATAAGAGATTTTTTTAACTACACTAACAATTTAATATCAATATTTTATCCCTAATTTCTTACAATTTTTAACTTTAGGTGTTAGTTTTATTTATCACGTAAACAAATATTTTTATTTTAACGTATTTATTTTTAATGACGCCGTTAAAAAAACTTAAAATACAATAACAGATTTTTAACTACATTAACACTTTAATATCAATATTTTAAACCTAATTTCTTATAAATTTTAACTTTAGGTGGTAATTTTATTTACCATATAAACAAATTTTTTTTTTTTATTTTAACGTGTTTATTTTTAATGACACCCATTAAGAAAATTACGATAAGAGATTTTTAATTACACCAACAATTAATCTCAATTACTCTAATTTCTTACAATTTTTAAATTCAGGTGTTAATTTTATTCATCACCACGTAAACAAATATTTTTATTTTAATGTGTTTATTTTTAATGGCACCATTAAGAAATTAAAAAAAAAAATACAGTAAGAGATTTTTAACTATACTAACACTTGAATATCAATATTTTAATCCTAATTTCTTAAAATTTTTAACCTTAAGTATTAATTTCATTTACAAACAAATTTTTTAACAAATAGTTATATTTTAACGTGTTTATTTTTAATGGCACCATTAAGAAATTAAAAAAAAAATACAATAAGAGATTTTTTATCTATACTAACACTTTAATATTAATATTTTAATCCTAATTTCTTACAGCTTTTAATTTTAGGTGTTAATTTTGTTTACCACGTAAACAAATATTTTTATTTTAACGTGTTTATTTTTAATGACACCATTAAGAAATTTAAAAAAAACAAGAGATTTTTAACTAAATTAACACTTTAATATCAATCTTTTAACCCTATTTTCTTACAATTTTTAACTTTAGGTGTCAATTTTATTTACCATGCAAACAGATATTTTTATTTTAATATGTTTGTTTTTAATGGCACCATTAAGAAATTAAAAAAAATTACGATACGAAAATTTTAGCTACACACTAACACTTTATTATCAATATTTTAACCTTAATTTTTAAAAAATTTAATTTTAGGTTTTAATTTTATTTATCACGTAAACAAATATTTTTATTTTTAATGGCAACATTAAGAAATTAAAAAAAAATAGAATAAGAGATTTTTAACTACACTAACACTTTAATATCAATCTTTTAACCCTATTTTCTTAACATTTTTAACTTTAAGTGTTAATTTTATTTGCCACGTAAAACAAACAACAAATATTTTTATTTTAACGTGTGCAAATGTTTTTATTTTAAAGTGTTTTATTTTTAATAGCACCAATAAGAATTTTAAAAAGTTTACGATAAGAGATTTTTAACTACATGAACACTTTAATATCAATCTTTTAATACTAATTTCTTACAATTTTTAACTTTAGGTGTTAATTTTATTTACCACATAAACAAGCATTTTTGTTTTAACGTGTTTATTTCTAATGGCACCATTAAGAAATTAATAAAAAAAATATTACTTTTCGAAAATCTAAAAGCTCTGGCGGTAATATGATGGATAAAGTTAAGAGCATAAAACGAGAACAAGTCTAAGAATTTCAACAGATTTTCTTTCGATTAATCTAACTGAATCCTGTGGAAAATAGTTTTAAAAGTTTAGTTTCTAATAAAACTTAATGGCTTAAATAAATAAATGGAATTTTCTGATGTTATTTTTCCAAGGTAGTCAAGATTTGTTAGCAAATATAGCTTAGCCATAGCATCCAGTTTTCATGAAATAAATTTATAAAAAACATTTAGTATAAACTTACGTTATAAACTTTTGTTCATCCAAAGTTTATGCTGTAGTGTATTTTATTTAAAAATAAAGAAATAAAAATTAAACGATCATTTAATTATAAAAATAAATCCAATTTTCTATTTTCAATTTTAACAGTTTTAATAGTGTTTCATTAAAAAAATAATGAAATTAAATTTTAAATTTTATCATGTGAATAATTTTTAAACCACAAAGTAGTTTTAAATTTTGTCATCTTAATTTTATTAACAATCTCAATGAAGTATTTTTTTTAAATATAAAGGAAAATATTTCATTCAAAAACATTTTTAATCTGCTATAATATAACCTTATGGAAGTTTATTGAAATAGTTTATAATATAAATAAATACAAGCATTTCATTAGTTTGCTTTAAGGAGAACATTATTTAACTTACTCTGCTAATCATAGCTTATATCTTAAATTATTTTAATATAAAAAATATTTTTCTAAATTTATATTAATTAATGGCTTAAATAAATAAATGGGATTTTCTGATGTTATTTTTCCAAGGTAGTCAAGATTTGTTAGCAAATATAACTTAGACATAGTATTCAGTTTTCATGAAATAAATTTATAAAAAACATTTAGTATAAACTTAACTAAGTCATAAACTTTTGTTCATATAACGTTTATGTTTTACTGTAAGTTTTATTTAAAAACTAAGAAATAAAAATTAAACGATCATTTAATTACGAAAATAAATCATATTTTCTATTTTCAATGCAATTTTAACAGTTTTAATAATATTTGATTAATTAAAAAATAATAAAATTAAATTTTGAATTTTATCGTATGAATCATTTTTAAACCAAAATAGTTTTAAATTTTGTTGTTTTAATTTTGTTAACAATCTCACTAAGTATTTTTTTAAATATCATTAAAATAATGTTTCATTCAACAACACTTTTAATCTGCTATGAGTTATAAGCTTATGGAAGAATATCAAAATATAATATAAATAAATGCAAGCATTTCATTAGCTTGCTTTAAGAAAAATATTATTTAACTTGCTTTGCTAAACATTGCTTATATCTTAAATTATTTTAGTATAAGCAATATTTTTCTAAATTTATATTAATTGATGGCTTAAATAAATAAATAACGGAGATTTTCTGATATTATTTTTCCAAGGTAGTCAATATTTGTTAGCAAATATAACTTAGCCGTAGCATTCAATTTTCTTGAAATATATTTATAAATTATTTTGAATAAATTTAAGTTCAGAACTTTTTGTTTGTAAATCGTTTATGCTTTACTGAAAAATTTTATTTAAAAATTAAGAAATAAAAATTAAACGATCATTTAATTATGAAAATAAATTCAATTTTCTATTTTCAGTTAATATTTTAACAGTTTTAATACGTTAGTTAATAGTTAGTTTATTTGTTTAATTTCTTTCATTAAAAAAATAATAAAATACAATTTTAAATTTTGTCATCGTAATTTTATTAACAATCTCAATAAAGTATTTTTTTGAATGAAAAATAATATTTCATTCTAAAACAAGGAAGAATATCAGAATATATATAAATATATACAATAATTTCATTAGCTTTCTTTAGAACATTATTTAACTTGCTTTGCAAAACTTTGCTTATATCTTAAACTATTTTAATATAAATAGTATTTTCCTAAATTTTCATTACTTGGTAAATATTGAAAACTGCAGCACTGCACAAATATAACGATAACTAATAACATCCTTTAAAAAGCATTTGAAATAAATATAATCATTTATTTAATGTTTTCTTTGAAGCAAAAACTGAATTTTCTGTAACTAAATAAAATATATTCTAAGAATTTCTTACTGCATTCAAGTGCTTGTACTTTCAGGAAATGTCTGTTAAAAAATTCTGTTTCTAAAGCTATTGGGCATACTTTTAACTTGAAAGGATATATTTGTTCAGCCTTTTGAGCTTTGTAATATTGAAACATTCTTTCAGAAGCAAGGTAGGTTTTTAGTAGTTTTATTGATTATTTTACAGAAGGTACGTTAGATGTTTTTATTTTTTTATTTTTTTTGTTCTGAATTTTTTTATAAAGAAAAACCCTTTTATTTACCACACAAAATAGGATTCTTGTAATTGCTGTTTTTTTACTGTTTAACAATAAAGGGTTTGTTTAAAAGCGCCAGGCTGAATTCAAGAGCTGGAACAAA